ACACTACTGATTTCACTTGTATACTTGCCCTTCCCCCCTTCCTTTGCTGCTCTCACATAGCTGTGTATATTTCCAACACCAGTCTGCTTTTACCAGTTCTCACGGTCTCTTCGCTTGCGGATTTGTTATATTTTTCCTTCTAGCCTGAAGATGGAGGCGATACGTTCCTCCGAAACGTTGGTTAACACCACATATACACGGTGCCAAATCCCAGAAGACTGCTTTCTTCATAGTCACCGCTATGAAAGCCTCAAATCTTACACAATACACTAGAGGTTTTGCAGTATATCATGCAAACAAAAGAATACCAACAATATGCATGTGTCAAAAGACTTTCACCATCTATCATCAAAGAAAAATACTATATACTTGAAGTGCATTCTGATGAGAAACATTTTGTCTTCTTACAGTGTGTTATTATCTGACTTTGGTCATGCATAGTTGTCTGGAATGACTAAAACTGAGTAAGGCAGTGAGTGTGCTCCTCCTCGAGACCACCACGATATTTGCACATCCTAATGAACTGGAGTGCTATGCTGGAGGGAGCATAAGCTCCTGGTAAGACCACCCATGCCACACATGCCAAAAGGGTAGAGGCTAGATGAAGTGTAGTCCCTTATCCTTCATGTTAGGAGTTGGGTGTGGGGCCAATGATCTCACCCTGGAAAAATTTACTGTTATGAGACCATGGAGGAAGCCAAGACACACACAGGGTTGTAGCGCTAGTAAAGAAAGAGGAGAAGTGGTGAATGTGTTAAGAGCAAAGTGAATGGGACTACCTTTTAAACACAATTGTTCTTCACTCTTCTCCTTATTTCTCTCCACTTTCTACTGATTCACTCAGATCCCTCATTATTATTTTATTTTACTTTCCTCCATTACTTCATTCATACCCGTACCTCACTCTCCAAAGCAGCTTTGTTAGTATTTTATCTTCTCTTCCAGACATTGTACCCTACAAAAGGACTTTTAAAGAATGAATACTCTTTATACAGTTATCCTTACTCCCACTGGCTCACTCTCTGCCCCAGTCCTGGACTTCACTCTTCGTATTTTTCATATTCCTAAAAATAAAAATCTCATTCATAGTATTTAATTATAAATCATGTGAAAATATTCAGAAGACTGTGATGACGGTATCAAATGACTTTTAAAAATGATCCTTGTAATGGTTCTGGTCTTGTCAAAGTGCTTCAGGCATTCATACAGTCAGAAAACAACGCTTTTAAATTGGATCACAGTATTTACAGGTTAACAGACGTTTTTTGAAGCCCCAATCAAATTATTTAATTAGATATGTGGCTGGCTTCACACTGTAGTTTCCTTTAGATCTAGAAAAAGTACGTATATAGTTATCCACAGCAAAAAGACTGGATGGCATCAGAACCATTCTGGACATGGTAAAGATCAATTTCAGGAATATCAGGATATTAGAAATCAAATTGGCAACTCCTGTCCTTGGTAAGCTAAAAGGTAAAGTTATACCTGTGCTTGGCCACGCCATAGCTGAAGCAGTTAGTCACTGGCTTCCCACCGTGGTAGCCCGGGTTCGATCCCGGGTCTGGTCAAGTGGGATTGGTGGACAAAGTGGCGCTAGGGCAGGGTTCCTCCGAGTACTTTGGTTTCCCCTGCCAATCTTGATTCCACAAATTGCTCCACAATCACCCTCACCTATCATCTGTGTCTGGTACAATAAGCCAGAAGTGGTCGCAGAACAAGGGACTTAGTCCCACACTACTAGCAATGAAAAAAAATATCCGTGCTAAATTAAGCAATATGCAATGAAGACGCATGGGAGAGCGGAGGTATAGCTTCACCATTCTTGACCTAAGCCCTAGAAGATGATGAGTGATCAGATCCACACCCCAGCCACTCTACCCCTGGGAAAACAGCCTTAGTACACACAGTGTAGGAGGTTGGGTGGTCCCAGAGCTGGTCTTGACATTATGAACAAGAGAAAAATCTCTTGTCCCTGCTGGGAATCGAACCCCAGCCATTCAGCCTGTTGCTATACGAACTGAGCTATTCCTTGGTGAATCACTTTATTGACTAAGATAAAAAACATTTAAATCAGCTGTTTAAAGTTGCATATGTTATTACAAAAAAACTAAGTATATGTTATTGTCTCGTCACCAAAATGCAGGGCAAAATCATGACATAAAGATAGGAAACATGTTTTTAAAATGTGGCACAGTTCAGATATTTGGGAACAACAATAAGAGATCGAAACCTGATTCAGGAGGAAATAAAGAGGAGACTGAACTCAGGTAATGCTTGCTACCATTCAGTCCAGAACCTTTTGTCTTCTCGTCTGCTGTCTAAAAACATAAAGATTAGAATATACAAAACTATAATTTTGCCTGTGGTTCTGTATGGGTGTGAAACTTGGTCTCAGGCATTAAGGGAGGAACACAGACTGAGGGTGTTTGAGAATAGGGTGTTGAGGAGAATATTTGGACCAAAGAGAGATGAAGTGACAGGTGGCTGGAGAAAACTGCATAGTGAGGAGCTTCATAACTTGTACTCTTTTCCAAGTATAATTAGAATGATCAAGTCAAGGAGGATGAGGTGGGCAGGGCATGTAGCACGAATGGGGGGATGAGGAATGCGTATAGGATATTGGTGGGAAAGCCAGAAGGAAAGAGACCACTGGGAAGACCAAGGAGTAGGTGGGTGAACAATACTAAAATGGATCTGAGAGAGATGTGATGGTATGGTATGGTATGGATTGGACTGATTTGGCTCAGGATAGGGACCAGTTGATGGCTCTTGTGAACACGGTGATGAACCTTCAGGTTCCATAAAATGCTGGGAAAATCTTGAGTAGCTGCTGAATTTGTGGCTCCTCCAGAAGGGCTCAGCTCCATGAGTAAGTAAGTAATATGTTATTACCAATGTGTACACTGCTGATAACACAGCACTCTGCCAGTTGAAATGTTGCTGCCATGGATGTAACTGTTCTTGGGGCAGAAATAAGCCATTTTCTGCCATTCACATTTCCATTAAGAAGATTCTCAGCTGCATGTTTTTCATCCTGCAAATTTAAAATGAAGAACAATTCCTTCTTGTGTGGAATCATAAAGGAAATTTCATGACATCACATGCCAGACATAAGGTAAAGTCTTGGCCTTGTTATTAAGGTATAGCTCCAGCCTGTCTTAAACTTGGGCACTAGATGGAAGTGAGCTATTAGCAACTAGTGTCATGCATATAATGAATGGGGGTTGAAATTCGCTCAGCATAAAAACCTTCTAATGACAATTTCTTTGTTGCAGTTTAAGACATATCTTGCATCATACGTTATCCTTCTAGTTTGCCGCTCCATTAGAACCTAACACAATAAAGTGGGAACTCTATTTTATATTCCACATAATATAAGACAATATGTTACTTTTTTTTTCTCTCCATATATATGGTCTCCTCCTCTGTGCCCTTTAACATTACAGAATCCAAGTTTTCACCATGCCACAGCTTTTAATACTGTTCTGACAGTTAAAAAATCATTCTAATTTTATGTTCTTGTATTACAGTAAAACATTAACGATGAGTTTCAAATATCTTGAAAAATATATACTACCTGTCAACATCATTATATTTAAATTTTCCAACATCTACATGCTATATAATCGATTTGTATTATTTGACTGATCAGTATGACAATGTCTCGGGCCCTCTCATGCAATTTCTACAGAACCAGTTATTTGCTTTCGGATATTCAGTTTGGATTTCATGCAAACTTTGATATATGTATGTGACTCTGGGCCAATAAGAAGCGTTATAAATTAAAATTATGAAATGCTGTGTAGTTAGACTGTAATCCATTAGAGAAGCTGGCTTGTGCCGGTTTTGTTGGAAGGAGTCTGCATTAAATCTCGGACACCTTAGGAACAAGAATTTATCTGTACTTACTCAACCTACCTATTCTGCAAAATGGAATATCCAGTTATTATGCCTAACACATCAAACAAAATACCTTCCAATCTAAACACAAATCCGTAATGTTACCATTAGATACACTACCTGGGAGGTACAACCTATAACTTCTGTCAATTTAATTTCAGGCATGTGCGAAGAGAGACAACAGGCCTTTCGCTGTCTAAAATGTTCTATTCACACCTTCAGTAGAATTCAGAGCTAATTTCATTATGAAAAATTGGTGCACAGTATGTACCGGTATGTACTACTAAAATTTACAAGTTTATAGCCTTTCATAAAAGTTCATAAATCGCAGTCCCAATCCAATGAGCTCACCACTGACGCCACTGACAGCCACTGACGGATCATTAATTACCACTTCCGGCCTCTTCCCGTTGCTTCATATCTAAATTTACCTAATTGATTTCCCTCCTCACAACTATATTTAAAGATGATAACAATTAGTAAAAATATGGGTATTATTAATTACTCGAATTGCACATAATAATTTTCGTTACCACAAAAATGTGTGAAGAATATGATCGTTAGCTTAAATTTTTGCGACATATTTTGTATCATTTATCTCCCTTCTCACTTTTCGCCAGTCCTAAATTTACCCAAATGATGTCTTACTAAAACATTTAAAGGCTTGGGTTAAGATGTGTAAAAATGCAGACAATATTTTATATTGTCACAAAATGAAACAAATATTGTTATGAAGAAAGCAGTCTTCTGGGATTTGGCACCGTGTATATGTGGTGTTAACCGACGTTTCGGAGACTGCTTTACCGTTTCTCACGGTGTTGTCGCTTGCAGATTTCTTATACTTTTTCTTCTACCCTGAAGATGGGGGCGATACGTTCCTCCGAAACGTCGGTTAACACCACATATACACGGTGCCAAATCCCAGAAGACTGCTTTCTTCACAGTCACCGCCGTGAAAGCCTCAAATCTTAAATATTGTTATAGCTCTAGTAAATATGTGGCCATTCCTGTATACAGCTGCAAAATATTCCATATGATGTGAAGATTATGAATGAGGTCACGAATGGGCAAGCTATAATCTTGTAAGCTTCAACAAAATGGTAATGCAATTAGTGTGTGGTGTTGTTTGGTTAGGGTTGTTGTGTAGAATTTATCCCAAATCGAAATGTTCTCAATATCCACTCCAGTTACTGGTTTTCTGACAATATAAGAAATGATTGTTACAAGCTTTCTCATGTGTACTATATCAACTCGGATCCAAAGCATAGCGTATAATCGCGAATTTTTCTTCTCAATATTAGGCCACCACGACCAACAAACGATAAACATGCAAACAACGGTATAGTAATGTACAGAGATTATTGCAATGTGGCATAATACCGCTAATACATAGCTACTATATGTCTTAATTTCTGTAAAGGAATGTACATATTATGTGCCAGTGAAAGTGAGGAAAAAGAAACCAAAGAAACAGTGTTTCTGATCCCTGCAATGTCCATCATTGCGTCAACATACGGAGGAAAGCAATTGTCATGTGTGATGCGCTGCTAACATAAGTGAGATAAAACAGGCGCAGTAAAGCTACCGATGTGTGTAGTTCAGGTATGTAAAAGGCAGAGTTATGTTTTCTGTTGAAGTTCTAAGTGGGCCTTTCTCATAAATAATCTTGGACATTTAAAACATTTATTTGCATCCGTTATGATAGTTAATGCGTTTCGTTTACCAAGTTCTTTACGTTCCTGACCGTACAAGGGCATATTTCGAAACTGTGTTTCTGTGATTATTGATGTACTGTTACGTAAGCCGATGGTTCTTTTAATTCCAGATTTATTGTTGCGGTAATTAACATGTCTGAGCACCTGTCAGAAACTAGATATACTGGGAAACTTAGTCCTTCACTCCTGTCACCAGAATCTCCAGGTGGCAGTCCTAAATTACAAGTGCCAAGCCCAATTGTTACTAGACGTACAAGGACTGAATCGACGTGAGTTCTTTATATCAGTAACTTGCTATGTACTCATGCAATAAAGTAAATATATTAAACTTCAGTAAAATAACGCAGGTAGACTCCACCCTCCCATCCCCTATCTAGTGGGTGTCAGATGCTCTTTCCCCAGAGGTAAAATGGTAAGGGCATGAAGCTGATTACTCACCTCCATCTAGTGCCGACATTAAGAAAGGTGGAGCTATACCTTCACTTCCCTTGTGCCTTTATATAGTGGTGTGTAATTAGTTTGAGCCTAGGGAAAAGTTAAGCTTTATTTTATGCGTAAGGTTTTATTGAAAGATATATGAATTCTGCGAATGCTGATCACTAGGATGTGAAACAAGTCATGGTACAGTAAACATAGTACACTTACGAATTACTGGGTTATTGGACTTTTCCAGAATTTTTCTAGAATTCCGGACAATGGAAAAAAGGCCAAAACCCGAGTAATTCTGTGTGTCATCCACCATTGTTAGAACCCTTTAGAGTCTATCTAAAAGTACACTTAAGTTGCCCCATACAACTTGAGCTAGGTACCTCCCACTCACAAGCGAAATTAGTGTTTGCTGAGGTAGTCCTGCTTGGTGTATTTTTTTTTGTCTCAAACTCTTTTGGGGGTAGTAATTGACAGCACCTTGAGCTGGGATGTTTATATCGATAGAACCTGCAGTCGAATTAGCCGCAACTTATTTATAATAAATAGACTTGGTAAAATACTAGACCTAAAGGGTAGAAGAATGTTATATTGTGGTTAGTGGTTGAGGAGCTATGCTACAAGTCAGAAGGTCGCAGGTGCAAGTCCCAATGAGGTCACTGGATTTTTTTCGGTTGACCTAATCCTTCCAGCCACATTAGGCCCTGGGGTTTATTTCATTTCATTTCATTTATTTCGTGTCCATGGATCATTATACATGATATAAGACATGTCATTCTTGTGTAGTTATAGTATAATAAGTTTCATGATGTTACTATTGGGGGGGCTGCATGTGAAGCATGCAGTGCAACGTGGAATTTGGGTACCAACTCAGCATTTGCTCTGGGACCAAGGAAAACCACGGAAAACCTTGATCGAATTGGCCGGTCACAAGACCTCCCAGATACACTGGTTTCTAGCAGCACCACTCCCACCGCCTCGGCTCCATATCCCATAGTCCCTGGTCCCTGCTGTGTTTTCTCCAGCACATGGCGTCTTGTTTCCTGCAAGAAGAGAGTTACGCAGTATACACTCCTAGTGTGTGTTAAGCTAAGCTCAATTGTTCTTACTTTTAAATTATTATATGATCCTAATGTGAACTAAGTCTTGTCCACATAGGAGAGGAACTCATCTATGCTATAAAAGCAATGTTTTAATAGAAATGTTTTCAAAGTAATTTTAAATTTACATAATGCTGGTATCTCTTTAATGTATTGCGGTAGGTGGTTTAGAAGACGAAGACCAAGATTATTGAAATTGTTTTTACACAAGCTTGTATTGCATGGAACAATGTATAAGTCCTCTTTCCTTCTTGTATTATATGAGTGTACATTTGCATTGGTTATGAAGGTATTCGAGTTGGATTTCATGTAAACTAGTGTTTCATATATATAGAGGCATGGTAGAGGTAATACGTGTAGTGTTTACTCAGCCTCTAACAGAAATGGGTACCAGGAATTAATTAAATAATTTTCCTGGGGGGTAAAGCACAGCCGACGCGTAAGGCTGACAACCTTACCGCCATCTTTGAGCCAATTGTCTAGATAATGTGGGAGCCTCAGTGTCTCACAACCCTATGGGCCTTCACGGTCTGGTACATGGATAGCTTTATTTTTTATTTTTACTATCCTTTTATAACATATGGAATTGTAGTATGGGGACACAGTGCTAAAGCACTTACTAAAAGAATTTTTATTCTTCAAAAAAGAGTAGTATAGTACACTGCAGGGGTAAAACCTTTAGAATCGTGCAGAGATAGTTTTAAACAACTTAAGATTTTAACAGTATATTCGTTGTACATACAACAAACAATCTTATATGTAACTAATAAATGTAACTGCATGGTAAATAAACAAGTACACACACACACACACAATACAAGAAACAACGACTACCATAAATGGGTGCATAACTTAGAACTTTATAACAGTAAACCTTCAGTTGTTGATTGTATCTTTTATAATAAATTACCTAATAATATAAAACAACTTGAAAATAAAAACCAGTTTATAAGGGAACCGAAGAATTTACTCATTAATGGGTGTTGCTACTCAACTGAAGACTATATTTACTTACTTACTCATGGAGCCGAGTCTTTCTGGAGGAGCCACCAATTCTGCAGTTACTCAAGAATTTCCCAGCATTTTATGGAACCCGAAGGTTCATTACCACGTTCACAAGAGCCCTCCACTGGTCCCTATCCTGAGCCACATCAATCCAATCAATGCTATCCCATCCTATCCCTGAAAGATCCATTTTAACCTTGTCCACCCACCTAGGCCTTGGTCTTCCCAGTGGTCTCTTTCCTTCTGGCTTTCCCACGAATATCCTGTACACATTCCTTGTCTCCCCCATTATTGAAGACTATATGAATGATAAATTCTTAAATACTGGATAATGATACATGCTAGATGTAAACAATCATTACATATTTTGTTAGTTTATTGGTTAAGAATTTATTGTATATTTGCTAATTTTATAATTTATATCATGCGACATGTCCTCCATCAATGTAATCTGATCTATAGGATGAATAAACATAAATGAATGAATCAATCTGCTCAGTATTTACAAAAACACACAACAGTATGTAGATTTTCATATAAAGTGGTAGTCATTGCCCCAGCATTTTCCTGAATTTGGCTTTTCAGTCGGGAGTGTTGTTCAAGAAACTTAGCATGATTGTAATAAAGTAATTTTAGTGATAAAGAAGACATTAACCTTTAACTGTGATGTGGAACGATTTTTCCCCATAAATGAGATTTAAATTGATTTAGTTTTCAATTGTGTGGCAGTAACTCATGTACTGTTGGAACTAACTGTATAATGTTTTGTCACCCTGGGGTAGTTCAAACATGTATCTTTGCCAGGACACTGGCTGTTTGAGGTTTCTCATGGTATTCGTCAGTCCTTCCAAGCAAATATCGGGATAGTATCATGATTAAGCAATGACTATTTCCGATTCACCTATCCTATGCTGTGCAGTCTTGGTACTGAAAGCATTATTAATAACTTTAAAAATAATGAAAATTATTCATTGACTGTTGTGCCTAGGCATACTGTTTATTTATTTTATGATTTTGATGCTGTCAGTAGCTTATATTATATAATATAAAAATTGTACAGGATAATTTATTTTTAGACTTGAGCCTCCAGCTCAGTTATTACCTACTAATTGTGAAATGGCACCTCATTTGCTTATTGACATGTGTGAAATATTGTCTTCAGTTTGGAAACATTTTTGTGGGTCTTTAGAGTAAATCAGATATAACAGTGCAGGTTGGGATACTAGTTTATGACATCTAACTACAGTGATAGTTACCTTTCATCTATTTTATTAATAGATCAGCAAGAGCATTAGAGAATCCAACTGAGCATGGGAAGGTGAAAATGTTCAGCCGATCCAAGGGTCACGGTTTTATCACATCAGACATCTCTGGAGAAGACATATTTGTGCATATCTCTGAGTAAGTCTAGAGCCTACTTTTGTTAAAATGTTAAAGGAATGATTAAAATGAGGCAGTATTTTAATGCTTAAAAAACAAATTTATGTATGTAAAGAACAACAATAAACTTAATTTCAGAATTAAATCAAGAGATGATATTTTTAAAACTTTCAAGTCAGTAAACCAGCTTAAGCTTGAATAGTACATGATGTAGTCCAGTAGATGTCTACCAATGTTTCCAAGGAACATACTCCCACATATTCAAGGTCAAAAAGTAGGCCAATCAAGATATCGGCAAGAAACAGGTAGCCTTGTCCACTTGGCTTACTCTTGAACCCTGAAGATGGAGGCAGTCCATTCCTCCAAAACGTTTCTGAACTTCTACCAGACTACACACAATCACATTCCAGAAGATGGTACTCTCCATTGTCACACTATGAGAATCTCAGTCCTGACGCATAAAGTCTAACTGTTCACTGGTTGTAATGGCAAATAAAATTCACTAACAGATTCACATGTATGTATGTTTCATTCATGTAATATTGAATGGCAAGATGTCTGTGAAAGAGGCTGTAATTGTGTTTGGGACACTGTCCCAGAGAAAGACCATGAAAAATCTCATGGTTGAACTCCAGGCCCAGGTTAAAATGTTGGACCTTCAGAATATGATGTAAGAATGCTGACCACACAGTCGCAGTGTTTGATAGATGATTCACAGGAAGAGATGAAAGTTGTGACTGTGCATGAGGAATATAGATGAGTAATCACTTGAATAATAAAGACAGAGACACGAGTTGGAAGGTCTGGGCATGAAAAGAGCTCATTTTTGAGATAAGGCATAAGTAGTACAGTATTAATAAATGTATCAGGCAAACGTTTTGATATGGCAGACTATCCAAGGAGACTTCAGTGCATTTACTGGCTGTGAAAGGTTCAGGTATTATAAAAGCAGAATTCTTGTTTCAGCATTGAAGGTGAATATGTACCACTGCCTGGTGATGAAGTCAAGTACAGACTCTGTCCAATTCCTCCCAAGTATGAGAAGAACCAGGCAATCAATGTGAACATCATCAATCTAACGCCTGAAGTGCATCTCAGGTGGGACTGTCCAGTAAGTGAAGAAGAGAATGAAGTGCATGGCCAGTGACTGGCAGCCATAGGGAGCATCTGTAACTGAAGACTGTGTTTTTCAGCTTCATGACATGTTATATTATTTTGCTGAAGCTGTTATGAGCGATATTTAGTTCCAAGCTGCGAATGTACTCCTTACACAATAAAAGCCCCCCCCCCATTTTTTTATGCTACTGTACTGTACTGTACTGTTTGGAATAGTATTTGCTTAGGGATTTTCTATAAATTTTTCTGCACTTTTGAGCAAGTCCAAAGACACTGAGATCAAGTCATTGCAATGACAGAATTATAGAGAATAGAGTAGGACTTTGGCTTTCGATCAGATCATGGATGTTCATGCAGACATATAAAACAAGTCTGGGGCTAGATGTAGAATTTAGCATTGTAATTAATTGCATTTATAAGCAAATAAGCATTTATTAAACATTTGAACATTGGTTTTAGTCTGCAGTATTTATTACACTCTGCCTTTGACATTTAGTATTACAGTACTTCTAATATCATTATATTGCACCAAACACACACACACACACAAACAGATTTTATCAACCACACATTTATTTACCTATGACATACTTCTGACAGCACTTATCAATAATATGATGCAAAGACAAACAGATATTTTTGAAACAGTGCAGCCGGGCAAAGAATTCTCATAGACCATCCACCAGTTTGTCTACTGTCCCTCCTGCACTCCCCTTACTCTACCCCTATTTTTCCATGCCAGTTATAACTCATTCCACAGCATCAGGTAAGGGATGCCAACAGGCAGCCTAGGATGGTGGAGTGGGGGAACTGGCACTCTCTTTGTGGCAACTTTCATTTCCACTGTCTATGAGAATTCTTTTGCCAACTCCATTTTAATAAAGTGTATCATGCAGCTATTACTGTACTAATGTACTATTTCTAATGTCTGTTATACTCTTCTCCAAGTATAATTAGAATGAATACGTAAAAGGTTGAGATGGGCATGGCATGTAGCACAGATGTGGACAAGGAATGCTTATAGGATATTTGTGGGAAAGACAGAAGAAAAGAGACCACTAGGAAGACCAAGACATTGGTGGGTGGATAATATTAAAATGGATCTTAGGATGGATTAGTATGGACTGGATTGATCTGGCCAGTGGATGTCTCTTGTGAACACAGTAATGAACCTTTGGGTTCCATAAAATGCTGGGAAGTTCTTGAGTAACTGCATGACTGGCACCTTCTCAAAAAGGGCTCATCTCAGTTAATTAATTAGTTGTACTACACAGAAACATTTAGCCTGACATATGTAAACAATTTACATTTATCAGTCAGATATTACTCATACACTAGAAACAGTACATACTGGCAGACATTGTGCATTTAAACAGTTCATGAAACTACATAATTCTTGAAGAAAGTCTTCTGGGATATAGCGCTGTGTAGATGGAAGCGATACATTCCTCCAAAACGCTGAACACAATATCTACACGGCGCCACATCCCAGAAGACTGCTTTCTTCATAGTCACCACCGTGAAAGCCTCAAATCTTACACAATTCTTAATTTATAATTCCTAAATGTCTCTCCATACAGACAAATGTTTAAAGGAAAGAATGTCATTTCTTCTCCAGAAGTGTAATATTTCAGTTTATGCATTAATTTTATTATTTGTAATTTGACTAGACTGAATCACAGTATGTGAGCACATTTGATACCCCAATATTTTTTTTTTCATTTCTGATGTGCAGATACTTAAGAGTAAAATATACTGTGTGTGTGTCTAAGTCTTGCAACTTTAACCTTTCCTAGTTCTTCATAGAGGACAGATAACTGGGAGTTTACCCTGATGGAATATGAAAATTATAAAATTTGACACAAGTAGCATGAAAAAACACATTAAAATCAGTAAGCCAAAAGTTAATTTCTCCTGAGTATAAGGGTAACAAGCTTTGCTAGGTGTACTATGTATAGTGGTCACAGCGGTCAAGACATTTTGCCTGATTTCAACAGCCTGACAGAAATTCTCCTTGCTATTTATTTGTACACAACTCTACACCTACTTATGCCTACAGTTTACTCTTAACTTCTTCTGTCACATCAAACAAAGGCCCTCATACTGATACCAGTTAATATAACAAATGATTCAAAGATTTTTCCACTTGTTACTGAGAAGCAGATGATCTGGTCTGTTAAGCCCTGGCTATACGCTATTAGATGTTATATTGGCACACCTGGACATTTGAATGAAAATACCATCTTGCTTCTGGGGCATGCAGTAGCATAGTTGGTTCAGGCACTATGCTACAAGCTGGAAGGTCACGGGTTTAAGTCCCGATTCGGTGAATTTTTTCGATTGACACAATCCTTCCAGCTGAACTATGGCCCTGGAGTCAACTCAGCCTCTAACAGAAATGAGTGCCAGGAATCTTCCTGGGGGGTAAAACGCAGCCTGTGTGTAAGGCTGACAAACTGACTGTCATCTGTGAGCTGATTGTCTAGAAAATGTGGGAGCCTCAAAATCTCACAACCCTATGGGCCTTCACAGTCTGTTACAGAGGTAGCTTTAATTCTTTTTTTGCCACACTTGCTTCACAAGCACTATGTAAAGGCAGTCTGTCCTCTGGGATGTGATGCTGTATAGTCTGCATTGGCTCCACATCCCATAAAGCATCCATCTCCTTATTCACTTCCATAAAAATCCCAAATCTTCCTACATATAAGGCTTTCTGTTTACTATGTAATACAAATATAAATTTAATAGAAATAAATGGAAGTCATACTCAGAACTTGCTTCAGTTCTACAAAATTACAGATAATCTCACGTAAACTTGAATCTTACAGTCTTCTAATCTGACAAACATCAAAATTAGAAAAGGTAAGAGGTAAAGTTATCCCTGTGCTTAATTAAGCACCACACCATGAAGATGTGGGGGAGTGGAGGTATAGCTCCAGGTATTCTTAACCCCAGCACTAGATGGAGGTGAATGGTCAGCTTTGTGCTGAATATTTCTGCTGGAAATCAAGTCCCGATTCCGTCATCCAGCCTGCTGCCTAGTCACTATACTGACTGAGCTATTCTGGTTCATTTGAAACACACAGCAGAGTACCTTCTGAGGAGAATAATACAGCATGTTTCAAAGTAACCTTTCTTGAGAATTATTTCATCATTTTAAAATACAGGAAACCCATAAGCATACACAGGATATTTCTGTTTATCTGATGAAAACATGAATATGATGAGCATGTTGGTGCAATAATAAACAGCTCAAATATGTTACTTTGCAATCTGAATATGTTGGCATGGTCTGGCAGTAAAGTTCTGTCAGGATGGATCAGAGCCACAGGTTAGATTTTGCTGACTCCTGACCTAGACATATGTCACATTTGCTATAAGTACAGTTTCTTTATTTCCAATTTAAAACACTTGTATTTGTCATCATCTGTCCCAGAGGCTCAAACTGTTACTACACACCAATAAATGAATGTGTTTTCTTTTGAAACATTTTGTATTGGTTATAAGGAGTTAAAGTATTTAAGTTCTAGAATATAAAATATATAATAATACATGAATAGATATTACACAGCTATTACAAATCCACTGAGCCACTGTGTCTCCATATTTATAAATGGTGACACACCGAAATGTAATACAGGATATCAGTGGAGCAGCCAGAAGAAAAGAGACCACTAGGAAGACCAAGATGTAGGTGGGTGGATAATATTAAAATGGATATTAGACAGTATGGTGTATGGACTGGATTGATCTGACTCAGGATAGAGACCAGGGGAGGGCTCTTGTGAACATAGTAACAAACGTTTGGGTTCCATAAAATGTTAGGAGGTTCTTGAGTGGCTGTGTGACTGGTGGCCTCTCAAGATGGGCTCAGTTCCATGAAGTTAGTTTAGTCAGACGCACTGAAATGTAGTTAAGTAGAGTATGATCAAGAACTCAAGGCTGAAGTGCATGAACACATTTCAGTACTTGAAAATAAGCCTGCCCAAAAACTACTGTGTAGGGGTGTGGAGTCAGTCTACATGTTGTGCAGTTTGAGCCACTCAGACACAACAGTGAAACCCAAAAGCATTTATCTGCACTATGATAATTCAGTTCCTTCTATATGCTTACACATTGCTGTGTTTACAATATAGCACTATGTGGTATCACACAGGACCACTTGTAATTAGAGTAACTGAACACCCACAAAGACACTGCCATCCCTCCGTTGGCTATTATGAGCAGACAAGCCTCCTTCCATTTTCTTCCCTCCTTTCAGGCAAACGTTCATATGGGCATCTACCACAAGTTCTTGGATGGTATCTACCTCAGATCACAGTAAATCATGTATGTAGCAGCCTCCGTAGTCTAGGGGTAACGTTCCCACCTCATGACTCAAGGTACACGGGTTCAAACCCGGCAGAGGTCGTGGAATTTTTAAGGGTGGAAAAATTCAGGGAACAAGTCCTCCGGGAGGGACTTCAAGCCGTGGGTCCCGTGTCGTAGATTTACAGCATGTAAAAGAACCTCATGTCTCTAGGAGACCTCTGAGCTAAATTTAGGCAATTTCCCGCCCAAGTAGTTTCCAATGCCTTCGGTAGATGGGGGAGTTTAGGTGCCACTGCCAGAGGAGGGACGACCTCACTGACAGAAAGGGACTAATTATCAGATACCACTGCCAGTAGAAGGCAGAAACCTCGCTGGCAGAAAGGGAACAATAGCAAGCACCAGTACCGGTAGGGTATGGAGACAGTAGAAATTCAAACGGGGACGCACAATAGATCAAAACTGGTCGCGGTGCATGGGGTAACCCACCCCCTCAATACTGAATAACTGAACTGAAATCACGTATGTATTTATACATGAACACTGCATAAACCATGTTCTTACCATTCACTGTTTTTTCGTTTATAAAATTTTTATAACTTGCATTAAAACATAAAGGAAATGTTACAGATTAGCATCATTTTAGGAATGAATAAGCAAAAAAAATTAAATATGCACATAAAACTACAACTGGCTCTTCTGAAGAAGTCCATAACTGCCACTTTTACCCTGGAGATGTTCCTCAAAAAGGTTGGTAGTCTCCTATCAAACTACAGTGTCATAATATAAAAGACAAAAATAAAAATCTTCACCACCATAAAACTTCAAATCTTCCAAAGTTCAGAAAATCATGCTTTACACAGTACTAAGATTATATTCAGATATACAGTCACTACTCCATACTTCATAATTCACTACATGCAGTCAAGCTTCCAACAATTTATTATTAACAGTTTTCATTTAAAGATGTGCATGGTGCACCTTTGCATAGGTTCTCAGCATCTAATCCACATGCACTACATCATGGCCAGCCTCTCAGCACCCTCACTATTGTACTGGCAATATCTTGTGCAGTTCAATACCTTTTGTTTTCTATTTTCCATGCACACTTGTCTCCCATAAGGATGATAAGTGATGTTAGCAACATTAAATGTAAAAAAACTCTGAAGAAAAGAGTAATATATGTGTTGGATTTGAGGTTCTTATAGTGGTGACTATGAGGAGTAAGCAACTGGGTTGTAACACCATCTGGTTCAGTAGAAATCTAACGTTTCTGAAGAATATATCACTTCCATCTTCAGGGTTGAAGAGTTAAGACAAAAAATCAGTAATATGCAGGTGGATAGAAGAGGTTTCTTTGATCCTGAAGTTGGAGGCAATATATCAGCCTGAAATATTGTTGCACTATTACTGAACTATACAGCATTACAACCTGGAACACTGTACTCATTGGAGTCATATGTAATTCAGTAAAATGGTACATATATTTATTTAAGTCCATGGCCCTATTTGTGAATTTTGCTATTCACAACTATCTCAGGAATGTAACACTTGCATATATGAAAGTACATATGTATATAAAGAAACTACAAGCACATCATATATCAATTACGCACAGCCAGTGTGTTTCACATTATTGGCAGAAATCGTCTTGAGATTATTCTTCGAACATGCCACAGGAGAGAGTGAACTTCTGTGCAAGCAAAACCTTGACAAAACTTATATTACTTTGACTCTAATAAAAAAAAACTTTCAGATTAAGAGAAACAGATGTAGTTTGTAGTGGCATATACATACTTAGTCACACACTGAGATTCCACCATATAACAACCATTAAAAATAATGTATTTAAATCTAACTGCTGGGAACATTACAACCTTTGTAATCTGTTACTGATATTTTATAATATTTTGAGGGGCCACCAAGAATACATTAGGATATTTCAAACTGAAGCTTGCAAAGCCTTACAAACTATGGTTGTATAAACAATACAAAATGCGTATAAACACATAATTTAACTTATTAATATTGTACTTCAGATTTAATATTAAACACAATTTATGCTGACATTTACGGGGTAGACAACAGAGTTTCATTAGGTTATTTAATTTGTGTGACTGCCTCTGTGGTCTAGTGGTCAGAGTTCCTCGCTACAGATCCAGATTTTCTGAGAAGTAGTGGGTCTGGAACAGGGTCCATCCAGCCCCACGAGGATAACTGAGGATCTACTTGAATGGAAAAGCAGCAGCTCCAGTCTAGAAAACCGAGATTAACGGCAGTGGGGATCCGCTGGGCTGACCACATGACACCCTCTATCCACTAAAGTTGGCACTAACTTCGCTAACATGCGGCAATCGCTTGGTGAGTATAGTTCACTTGCAGACTAAAGCCACAGAGTTTGTTTTGTACTTCATTTGTGATATTCCTGGTATGTAATACACTGGTTCTTATATCTTAAAAGGTTCAAACAATGGTGTATAATACTCAGAATACTGGATGATGGACAAAGTCCGAAAACCCAGTAATTCTGGTTCCTATATGTTTGCTATTGTAGCAGATACTGTCACATGTCATGAATCCTCATTATGGTTAAGTTAAACAATATCATTATAATACTCATCCAATGCTCAGTTTGAACTATGATTATGTTAATTTTCATCTAATTCTTCTTCATGTCCTAACCCTTGTTAACATTTCAAGCTGGGTATCTGAATTGAAGGTTCATCATCCATCCAGTCATTGAATTAATGAAAGTTTCCTCATGAGAAGTTCCTAATGAATGACTTGGCCTAGCAGTAATGCCTGACATGTATACAGTAGGTGCTGAGTTTGAAGTTTGGCCAGAACATTGGCTAGTCTGCAATTTCCTGTGATTTTCCTCAGTCCCTCCACTAAATGTCAGCAAAATACCTCAATTAGACTACAACAACTACCTTTTAAATCCTTTTCAATTCATTTATCATCCTACCACTTGACTCAGTAGTCTAGTACTATAACTTACAAGAGAAGTTACTAACCAGCTGACTTCAAAAACAGCATGTGGCCAAGAACCCATAAGAAGTATAATAGTGGTAACAATGAACTCATGCATTTAGACAACACATTCAAGTCACATGAAGCAGAAAAAGATATTGTTGCAAAAATTTCTAACCTTTACATGAGAATGAATGCTGGACAATGAAACCAGAAGACAAAACCAGAATTACATTCGCTGAAATGAAATTCATGAGACCAATGGTGAAATGCACTGGACGGACCACAAAAGAGTTCAAGATAAGTTAATAGAAATAAAAACAGAACCCATACTGGCCAAAAATTTTTAAATACAAAGCCAGCTGGATTCAAGATGTTGACAGGATACAACAGGCATCTGATCTGTCACCATTAAAAAAACTGCAAACAACATGGATTAAGAAACCTGAGAAAATCTTTAAAAAGAGATTACTGGATGGATGAGGCAGGAAGACAATACAATTCCCTGACTGCTAAATGATTATGTTTAATTTTACTTGTTCTCACCAGTTTCTCACCAAGTATATATCAATACAGAATTGTATCCCTGCTCTGTACTAGCCAGGTATGTTGTGTGAAGAACCTTCTGTAAACATACTACATACTTTAATAAAACCTGAACGTGCATCTTGATTTTTGTCACCCTGTTCCAACACTCTTATAATGTTTTAAATATATCACTCTCCAAGAAGGAAGATGGAGGGTCAAAGAAATCCCACAGTCAATGCAATCTCATGTGCAGTGAAACCCTACGTTATCTTACCAAGGTCGTGAGAAACGTCCCTTGATGAGACAACTACAGTTGAAAAAATCTAAACTGTACAGTAAATAATATGAACATATAAAATGGGGGGCTCTTATCAACCTATATATTTTAACATTACCATAACATGCAGTAAACAGGTAAAGCTATCCCTGTACCAGGCCGTGGAGGCCCACAGGTTTGTCACATGTTGAAGGTCCCACATTTTCTAGACAAACGGTTCACAGATGGCGGTGAGGCTGTCAGCCTTATGTGCCAGCCACCCTTTACCCCCATGAATATTCCTGGCACTCATCTGTTAGAGGCTGAGTTGACCCCAGGGCCACAGTGAGACTAGAAGGATTAGGTTCATTGAAAAAATCCAATGACCTCATCGGGAATCAAAACCCCGACGTTTTGGCTTGTAGCACAGAGTCTCAAACAACTATGCTACCATGTGCCCCTACCATAACATGCAGTATGTCTACAAACAGTCTCATCAATGACACAAACCCACAAACACAACTATCAACACATATTCAATAGCAATATGCAATTTTTAATTACCTAAACATGAGCTGACTGAACAGATTCAACCATGTACTAACTTTCCACTGCAACTTCTTCACCATCCTACAGGCACAGCTCATAGATGGAATCTCAGTTCCGAACAGCCAAGGCCTCCATCATAATCTAAAATTCTTATGTGATCATTTCGTGAGATATGCCACTAAAGGCAATCCTACTGCTGTACTTTTAATTTCATCCTTCCAATAAAAAAAAGTATGATGGCACTTACTATAGGGTGCTGCAATTTTGTTTAGCAAGAAACCTTTCTAAAATATGAAACTTCTGTCAAGGTATCTGTTTTGCAGAATGTGAACATGAAGCAGCAAGATGTCTATTCCCCAAATTTTTTCATGATTCAGTCTCTGTTCCTACTCGGTAAATTTTGGAAAAATTTGGGGTTCAGTACTGCAGTGTTACATCCTGATGTTTTTCTGGACTGTGTGACAGGTTTGGTATGCAGTTCTTATGTTTCTCAGATAGCTGCACCATGCTAAATTGTCATGGCTTTCTGGATGCAATAACAACTTATGTTATATGTTAAGGAACACAAACTGCATGTATGTCAGCACTAAAGGGGCTAAGCTTTTAGGCTGATGGTTGTTGCATTTGAAATTATGCTAATATGTACAGAGAGCAGCTCAAAGCATCTGATATACAACATGAGAAAAATACATGAAGTTAGAATTGTGGTGGAATGTTAAACAGGTAGCTTCTGTTCTGCAAGAAAACTGCGACACTGTAACCTGTTATTCACATGTCAAAAACATCCTGAAGACAGGTCAGGGAAAGAATGAACACAGATTCGTCTCCACCCACCTACCAAAAGGCTATTTCTCTGTGTATCTACTCCAATCCCAACCAGCTGTCACTGTATTCAGGCTTTCATTCTGTTTACAGACTCTCTTTCTCTCTTTTGGAATTCCAGGTTTGGTGTTCAGATACCCAGGTTTCTAACAGAACTCCCTCTGAAAAATCATGTAATTTCATTTTATTAAAATAAATTTATTATATTGTCATGTGTGAGAATGACTCTTGACAGGGTTTTGGATTGGATATTAGATTTATTCACCATTTATAACTTGTGACTACACTTTACAGAATACTGCCACATACAGACTAGTGTCCTCAGTCTAGTACAATCTCCTCCAGCCATTGCCTGTAACGGCTTGCAACGGTGGACTTTCCACTTATTCTGGGTTCCCAAAACATCACTGTGCCTCAGCCACCAGCTTCTAACAGCAACACCTCACAACAATTGAATTGCAGTTCTCTAACTCCCAGGCTAGGGGCCATCTCACACCAACTTCCTAGTCTTTTCTTCAGAAACTGGCTTTCAACTGACTCTATCTGAGTCTGAGTCTCATTTTACAACCGACGGTCACTCGGCCAGTCTGTCTTGGAATAAAGCACCAATCTGGGCCTTATGAACAGATTTTTATTACTGTCAGACAGTTGCAGGTTTGTTGATGTGGGGCGCCCTCTCTGATGATAGGTTGGGTCTGTCATTTACAATTGCTGCTGGTCCTAGCCAGCACAGTCTTTTTTAGGTCCAAGTCCCACAGGACTCATGACCATCTCAGATTTGAGACTTCTCTTTTTGTTGTCTCCTACAACTGACAGGACTACGGTGGAGGTATTCAACACAGTCTCCTCATGGGATGACTCTAGCTTGGCTGGTGTCCTTGTTATATAACCCGTTTGCATGGACCAAGTAGAAAACACCGTTTCCAATAGTTCCTTAGCTGCTTGTTAAGAATCTGCTGCCTAGCAATGGCTACTGCCTTGTTTGTTACACAGTCCCTGCATAGAAATGGGTCTATATGCCATGATATTTACTAACAATTATTACATTTGATTAAAGTGAACTGCAATAATGGTTACAAAAGTGAATAGTAATTCATTCTTTCTCTGACCTGATTGTAGATCAACACATCTCACTGTCAAGGGAGATTGTGAATCATGAAATTCTCTACCAACACAGCCTAAAGTGGACCAAAACTCAAGGTAAATGTGCCAGTTTGTTCTGTGTTATGAAATACAATATGATTCCTAAAACTGTCTTATATTCCATATTATATTCCATAATAATAATATAGGATTATGTATCCTATAAAAATGAGCACACCTTGAACAGCTTAACACCACAGAGAAGTAAACAGAGGAATCTGTTTAAATATTACTTAAAACAATAAATGTTCCATAGCCAGGAAACTGCAGTCTTAAACAAGGTTAACTGAACTAAATTATTTAACAACAAATATATACAACCTCTCATGTTTGTGTCATAGATTGCTCATTATACTGAAAAACAATTAGCAACAATCATGCTAAATCATTAAGAAAACGAACATAATATTCCACAAAATGGAGAAAAAATAAAATCTCAATTAAAAACTGGTAACAAAGCAAATACTGATAAAGAACATAACACAATATTTAAAAAAAATATATAAAAGCCATCTCAACAGTTCAGCTAGCTTTCTATGATTGTAAAACTGAATATATTTGGCATTATTTAATACTATCAGTTTCCCATGAAGGCAAGTATACTGTACCACCATTTTTATGATCATGATGCCTATACATTACGATTTGGAGTTCTTCTGGGGAATTAAAGCTATGAACACTTCCATATGCAGATTGCAAGATTGCCACCAAAAAACATATACAGCAGATTCTTACACTCATATGAAATCTCAAAGCCAAAACCTTCCCCCACAACAGTGTGCCATGATGGACCAAACTTCTTATCCATTGTTTCCTTTATCATACGAGCAGCCATCTGAAAAAAAATAATTTAACAAAAATGAACAAAAAGATTCTAAAGAGTTCTGATGATGGTGTATAACACACAGAATTACTGGGTTTTGGACTTTTTCCATCATCCAGTATTCAAGATAACAGAAAACATGACATTTTGGAAACTGGATCTGTTTCCATCCTCAGGTGAAGGTTGGAAAAGACACCTACTCAGTTGGGCTCCTTAGAAAGAGTTGCGATTGAGAATAGCTCTTTCTAAGGGGCCAAACTGAGTATTATCTTCTCCTCCTTCACCTGAGGACAGAAACAGATTCAGTTTCTGAAATGTCGTGTTTTCTATTCTCTAGAATACTGGACAACGGAAAAAGTACAAAAACCCAGTAATTCTGTGTATTAACAAGAAGAGTTTAGAACATTAATGAAAACAGAAGATCAAATATTACTCAATTATTTCAACGTATTTAAACAAAGGCCAGGTAATATAACCATAAGCTTGATTATATGACAAAGGAAAAGCTAAATAAGCTCCACTGTAAGCTCAAACAGAAACTCCAATAAAAAGTGAGCCAAAATGTTAAGTCATTAATTAAAGAAAGATTAAATAAATAAATTATACATCACAGTCTGGACGGTATGAAAGAGAGAATCATAATTTGCTGCATGTTTAACAAAAAAAAAAAAAGAATTAAACATCACAAAATCAATACTATGAGAAGTGTGCTAGAATGGATCACCTTACTAAATTACACCACATTTACATTTGCAAAACATCTTACCATGCCAAGTAACACAAAACACTGCAACTGAATTCTCATCATCTATGTTCTGGAAGTTCTGTGTTCGAATCTCGACCTAGAGGGCTGTGGCTGATACTATGCAATCATGCATGTAGGATCCTGCACATTCCTGTACATAACCACGGCATTTCCTCCCCAATACGATACAGAAATGCTAGGAGATCAATGATGTTAAGCCATCTGGATGTCAACATAAAGCTGTGATGATGTCATGAACGTAAGACATGCAGGGTTGTATAGTGATGTATAACAGCAGGATACAGAAGGTATGGGTGCTTACTTCATTGTTTGTTGAATGTTTTTCACAAGCAGTGACAACTAGTTCCATTACCTCTCCTTTCATTTCTTCCATCATGTCGGAATGCTGGAAATTTCAGATACAATTACATAACCTTGACGTACTATCACATAAAAGCCCAAACATAATCTGACATAGCACTCAACATATTTTACAAGGAAAATGCTCATTTTATGTATAATAATTATAAATTTCCACGCCATTGTACCTTACCCGGATTAAAGGATAAGTATGGACGATTTTTTTTGCAGTTTCCGTTTCTTCTTTCTTTCCCTCTACTTCTGTCATTTTACCAACACCAATATAACACTCGGCGACTCCCAGTATCTAGACCCTTTCCTCACGATTGCCCACCATCGTTATCCAGTCGCTACTACATTTGTACGCCTTTCAGCCTTTTGCGAGTTCATCTCCATTCATCTGTGCTTGCCGCTGTTTGCGATCGTCTTTGACGTAACAAAAGGAAATCGATGGTCTCCATGGTCATTATCGAAAGATAATGGGGATCGATGGGGATCGTAATGAACGAAATTGTATGACTGTTTTCAAATGCAACAGTACAAATATAGAAGTCCAATAATAAATACGTAAATAATTTTAAACAGACGAATAAGGAATGATATACGTAGATAACCTACTATCTTTAGTGGTGTTGGCATATGTTAGGAGCTAAACAGTTGATGTGCAAGGTATAACTACACACTGTGTGAAAGGAACGAGGTAACCAAGTAATTTGTTTTCTAAATGGATCAGATTAAAGAGATTGCTGCAATTGGAATCAGTTCCATACTATTTGGGATATGCTACAAACGTTACATTAAACAGCGTGACGCTATTAATGGGGTTCAGGTATGTATTGATGGGTTCACGGATCAAACTGCAGCTGACATTAAGAATATCAAGTTTTTGGGGGCATCCCACTTAGCAGCACCATAATTTTGTGTAGTTAGACATATGAGTGAAGTTAAGCCCTTTGTCACCACGGCATGGTAGTTCGTCAGGTTGCACGGAGATTGACTGTCCTCCGGATGTAGAGGGTAGCTGTTGGTCGGTGGTATCTGATGGGATGGTCATCGATTGTGGGGGTTGGAGTAGCAACTGCTGAACATATTACAAAATGTTATACAGAGCCACAAGCTGATTGCTTAGAATGACAGAAGCAATGGCAAATGGTCATGAGATCTTGAATTTATAATGTCGGGATAATTGAGATTTTATGAAAACAGTAGTTACAGAATTACCAAAGTAGAAGGATATTTGTAAGTTTTGAGGTTTTCACGGCGATGACAATGAAGAAAGTCGTCTTCTGGGTTTAGGCACCGTGTATTCTCTGCTGCTCTCCGCATTCCAAGCCATTCAACTGCTCTGAAGATGGAGGCGCTACGTTCCTCCGAAACGTTGGCCGAAACGAAGAATACACGGTGCCTAAACCCAGAAGACGACTTTCTTCATAGAAGGATATTTGGTTATAAAACAATTTAAAGCAAATAACTCACTCTCAGAAGGTGGCAGATGCATTCAATTCGTATTTTATTGATATGGTAGAGGAACTACTGGAGAAAAATAGTGGTAGATCATTACAAAAAGTAGTAGAGTGCAATCCAAACTCTGTATGTTTTTCTGATTCCTGAAGAAGAAATAGTTTCAGTAGTATTCATATTAAAAGACAAAGCTTCTGCAGGGTTTGATGATATCCCTGATTTTCTAGTAGAAGCATGTATCACAGTTATAAAGAACCACTTAATTTCATATTTAATGAATCCATGAATCAGGGTGTATTTCCAGATTTATTGAAAATTAGAAAAAATAGGCCTGTTTATAAAAAGGACAGTAGAGAGGAAATTATTAATTACAGACCTATATCTGTTCAACTCATTTATGTTCTGTAAATCCAGATACAAGTAGACACCATAGGATATGGAACAAGTCAAATACAATGGCATCTGTACAATAACAGCCTAATTTAAAAATTAATGAGATAATAATTAATACCAGTATACTGGTAATAGAAAAGAATAAAAATATTCTTCAAGACAAAATAGATAAGGTAATGAAGCAACTCAAATCTTGGTTTTCGATGAATAATATGGTAATAAATAATGAGAAGACTACAGCAATGTATTTCCATATGAATAAACTAAAAGATAGCATTGAGCCAATAATTACCTTTAAAAATATAATAATTAATTATACAGCACAGTTTAGGTTTCTTGGTATTAATTTAACCCACAAACTAAAATGGAACATTCATATTCAGTCGGTCTGTACAAAGCTCAGTAAGGTGTGGTATATTATTAAAGCTTTGAAAAGTGAATTAAGCCCAGATGTCCTTAGGAATGTGTACTTTGCTGAATTCCAATCTCACATAAGTTATGGTTTGATATTTTGGGGGGGAGAAAGTGAAAGTAAAAAAATCTTATTTTGCAAAAAAGGGTTCTTTGAATAAGGAAAGGGGTAACAAAAAGAACATGTAGACCTATATTTAGAGAAGTAAAAATTGTAACGGTAACATCTTTGTATGTTTTAGAGCTGTTACATTATTTCAAGAAATATAACATTTACACCACAAAAACCCTGACCTACATAAGTATGACACAAGAAAGAAAGAAGACCTTCACGTGCAGCGTTACAATACCTTAACATATGAGAAGGGGGTTACAAATATGGCTGTTAAGCTTTATAATAGACTGCCTTTGGAACTAAGAATGGTAAAAGCAAATAGAGAATTCCTACATAGACTCAAAAGGCACTTACTGGAACACCCATTGTATAATTTGCATGAGTTCCTCTCAGAAGGACAGTCAAATGAATAAGATTCTCCTTGATAAATAGATTTAAGTGTAAATAAAATGACTAGTAATTAGGTGAAGTTTTTAATATGATTCAGAATATAAAGGGAATGGAAGTCTTAAAAGAGATTGCACTCCAAATTATTTAATCATTATCTAAATTGAAGTTTATCTTTTGTGGATTATTTTGATATAATAGGTTTTAAGTTTAAGAATATGATGGTGGTAATTAAGATATATATATATATATGTAGTAAGATGACCTTGTTTTTTATAATGGAAGGCAGTCGTAAATTTGAAGGTACCTAATATATTTTAATTATACCAAGAGTGATTTTAATTGTAATTGAATGTTATGTTATAATGATATATGATGACGTTTCAATCAATTGGGCAGGAGGCCAATTAGACTGGAAAAGTTGTATATGTATGTGACTTGTTCAAGAGTTACAATTTGTAACTGTGATGAATGTTAAATAAAAACTTACTTACTTACAAATTACATAAATATAAGTTAAATGTACTTATGCATCATAATTTGAGCCTGTTAACGGAAATAATGTTGATGGGTAAATAAGTAATAAGATTATAAATTATGTAGATACAAGTTAATTATACTTGTGCATCACAATTTGAGCCTTTTGTCAAAAAGAATGTCAGTGAGTACATAGTTAAAGGTTATAAAATATGTAAGTAAAAGCAAGCAAGCAATCTCCATTCATACATTCGTAGATCCCCATAAGGGAGACTTGTGAATACAGTAAAATACAGTGAAAAACAGCAAGCGGTAAGATAACAACATAGATACAAATATTCTTCCAATGAGTATAATTTAATTACTAGTATACAATTATTTTATCTCATTGGCTATAATATACGATGGGGTACCCAAAAGAAACCGAACTAATTTTTTTATGGGCAGAGCTTTTGTAGTACCGTGTTTTTTCCACTATGAGCGCATAGAGCTAACATTCCTGAGTCGATAAGCCGACTACAGTTGCTTCAGAAGGTAAGGACTAGTTTCGGCAGAGTTTATAGTGACAACTGTTTTGTGTGATCGTCGTTTTTGCAATGGCTGATTTTCGTGAACAGCGTGTGGTGGTGAAATTTTGCTTTTTGCTTGGGAAAAGTGGAACAGAAACTCTTGAAATGTTAAAAACGGCGTACAAGGATGATGCTATGGGGAAAGCTCAAGTGTTTGAGTGGTTTTCCCGTTTCAAAAATGGTGAAATGTGAATTGATGACAAACCTCGTTCTGGTTGTCCTTCCACGGCCTGAACACATGAAAATGTTGAAAAAATTCATGAAATCATCAAGGAAGATCAATGACGGACCATTGAAGAAATTGTGGAGCTGTCAGGAGTGACTTGGAGCTCAGTTCAGCGAATTTTGACAGAAGATTTGGGAATGAAAAGGGTGGCTGCGAAATTCGTACCACGACTGCTGACTGCTGAACAAAAACAAGGTTGCGTGGAAGCATGCTGTGCTTTGAAAGAAGAGTCCCGAAATGATCAAAACTTTTTTTTTTGTTTCCTCGAATGAAAAGAGACATGAAAGGAAAGCGTTTTGCTGATGTTGCTGAGGTGAAGGAAAAAATGACGGAGGCGCTGTCAAGCATCTCAAAAGATGAATTTAGACAATGTTTTGAGAAATGGAATAAAAAATTAGACAAGTGTATTAGTGTAAGTGGAGAGTACTTTGAAGGGGATTGAAGGTTTGTGCTTAAAATTTGAATAAATAAGTTTAAAAAAAACAAGCTCGGTTTCTTTTGGGTACCCCCTCGTATATTCTCAAAAATTTTCGAAAAAATAGTGTATAATAGATTGGTATCCTTCATTATTAAATTTAAGATTTTAAGGGAAAATCAGTATGGGTTCAGAAAAATAAGTTGCGTATATCTACATGTCAGTCTTTTGTTGGAAATGGTCAGGAAGCACTGGACAGGCGGTTATAAATACTGACAAGACCAAAGCAATGCTGTTCCAATTAAATAAACCATATGACATGTCTGAGCCAGTTATTACTTTCAAAAATATAAATATTAATTATGCATCACAGTTCAGATTTCTAGGTGTCAATATAACACATAATCTAAAATGGAGCTCACATATTCAGCCCTTGTGTCTAAAATTGAATAAGGCATGTTACATTATTAAATCCTTGAAAGATGCAGTGAGTTTCTATATACTCAGGAATATTTACTTTGCCAGATTTCAGTCCTTAGTAAGTTATGGTTTCATTTTTGGGATGGAGAAAGCGAAAATAGTAGAGTACTGGAAATACTACTTCATTTAATGAGAGATGTAAATAATAGAGCATCATGCAGACATATTTTTAAGGAATTAAAGATTTTAACTGTTACCTCCTTGTATATTTTTGAGGTATTGTGCAATTTTCAGAAACATAATTTATACTGTATGAGAAATTCAGATTTATATGAATATAATACTAGAAGGAAAGGTGATATGTGCCCAATTGTAACACATCCACTTTTAAGAAAAGTGTTATCAATAAGGGTAATAAATTGTATAGCAGACTGCCTTTGAAATTAAGAAAATCAGATGGATGTAAGAAAGACTTTAAACGTAAGCTAAAAGTATTTTTACTAGATCATCCATCTATACATTGTATGAGTTTCTTTTAGAGGGACTGTAGTAAGCGTAGCAAAATCTCTATTCAGCAATTCAAATAGATAACAAATTGTTGCTTGTAATATCTTAATGTGATCAGTGTTTGACATGGCCATACATAGGACTTTTGATTTACCATAATACCCTTAAAATTCTCTCGATATACTCATAAGGTTAACAAAACTAGCATGATAGGCTTTTTTTTTAAATCAGCTTGCATTTTCAATTTATGTATCGTATCTAATTTGATTACTTATCTGGTTTTGATAGTGTGTGTTATGTTTTAATTGTATGTTTAACCTTGTCAAGAGTAATTAATTATTGCTGACAAATTCTAATCCTTTAGGCATTTGAGCAAAAGGATTTCAAGAATGATGTATTTAATGATGTGACTTGTTCAGGTGTTACTCTTTGTAGCAATTATGAATGCTAAATAAAACGAATGAATTTAGTGGGAGTACAGGAGGTTAGGTTGGGTAAGGGTGACACTGATTCAGTAAACAATTATACACTTTCTGTGGAAATGGGAATGAGAATCATGCTTTATTGTAGATAAGGAGGCAGAGTTTGTTACAGTGGATTATATAATGTGTAAAATTAAGGGCATTGGTGTGATGTAGTGAATGTGCATGGTCCGAATTGAGATGAAAATGATGATCACAAAGTGCAGCTTTTACAGAAGTATACATTCAGTCAGTTCCCAAGTAGACCAAGCATATAATTTGATAATGTGGAAAAGTATGTATCCAAAATATCTGTATAAGAAATCCTTTAACATTATATCATCTTGCATTTGAACTATGTACATATCTTGCTTCCTTGAACACTGAGTTATTCACATACAAATAATTGCCATTTTAGAGAGTTACAATGTTCAGACTTGTTAATGCTGTAGGAGGTGCAGTTGACAGTGATGCTCCATGGGAAAGTGAACCCACTGTTTACCTTTCATCAATGAGCTTGCATTATTTTGACTACTGACTTGAATTTTATAAAGGACATAACATAACCCCACAGACTTCATTATAGCTGGGCAGCGGTTTGTATCAGGTTATAAAAGTTCATATCTGTACTTTTGCTTTGATGTGTTACAGAATGCTCCGGTGCTGGAATTAAATTATGACCTGAATGAAATAGTGAAAACACACAAAAATAAAAAAGTACCATATGTAGTCATACGTGGAGAAGTTGAAGCGCTTGGGTCTCCAATTACCAGCGTAAATAACCACAGTATCACAGGAGCCATTCAAAAGCTTAGTATGAAAGAGCATGTTGTTGCAAGAGGATCATCTGGATTTTGGTTTGTTGAATAGGTGTTGCTGTTCATTCTCATGCAATTTCTTTCCTACATTGCTAGTTAAACCCAGATTTGAAAAGCTTCAGGCCACATATGCTCATTTAGAAGTGATAGGTCAAATTCACATTTTTTCATTACAGAACCTCCTTGTATTTGTTTGTGCATATCAAGTAGATTATCATTAATTACATTATTTTACATTTTAATGTATAACTGTTGCGTCAAAGTCTGTCTTAACATCGGATGGTATTAAAGTGATACAGTGTGATCATGTGGTACCTTCCTGAAAACATGTGACCTGTTTAGGCAGAATAGATTGGCATGTGAAGTGTAGGCATTAGAATTTCTCTTCAAATTTTCCCTATAAAATGTTGATCAAGCCATGTTCAGTTAGGTTTTCTTGCATCCACTGTCCTAAGGAGCAGGCACATAGCAAAGCCTACACTGACACCTGGAATGGTGGAATGACAAATTGCCACAGTGCCACTTCGTGTATGTGCATTGTGTTATGCTGCTTAGTACAACAATGTTTGAGGTGTCCTTATTTGCGGTTGCTATCTGCCATGTTTTGTTATGGTCACTAAATATGTCTTCTTAAAACTGTGGAGTCCCTTTTTGGGAGTTTGTATTTAGATTAGTAACAATATGAGGTACGATATTAAAGTACTATATAACATAAAAGTGCTTATACACTCTATTTTTCTAAAATTGTACTATCATCATAACACAGCAGTACTCTAAAACTGTTAATATGGTTGCTGTAATGTAGAATCAATTTGATCAGCCATGACAATTGACATAAATGATTTTAATGATAACTCTCTCAACCATTAGGGTCTGATCCAGTGATTTTTATGTTCTTTTAATTACTTATGTTACAACCATCGACACAGCAAACAGTGTGGGGATATCTTCAATAAAGATAACAGATGTTGGTATATGTCTTACGTGTTTAATATAACATAACTGTGCTACATGTTTCCACCATATAATTAGGTTATCATCAGGCACTTATGAACATAACTCATGTAATTAAAATTAATTGTTATGATACAGATCTGTATTCCTGCAACTGACGGCTGTGTTGCCAGCAAATATATATTTATAAAGTGAGCACAGATCTGCAATTTATTATGCTAATAAATTTCATTATTATGGTTATGATTAAAAATACATAAAATATAGAAATATGAATAATATAATGGTATAGAAGTATAAATTGTATTTAAAATTATGGCTAGATGTTGTGCTTAGGCATGTGCAGCCTTCCACAGATGTGTGTCAGTGTGCTGGAGGGGTGTCTTCATGCTATTTCATGCTTGCTGTCGTGCAAGAATGTGGCTCTGTGTCATAAACATTTCTTTTAATTATTTGAGCTATGTTCATAATATATACAGGGTGTCCCAGGCGGAATGGACCAAACATCGGGAGGGTGTTCCTTATGTTAAAGTATGCCGATATAACCCAAAACACCTATGTCCAAAGTTGAACGGTTACGGAGATAATGGCCCGAGAAAAGTGTGGTCTTCTTGCAGGTCCACGCACTGTGGACAGTCAGCTGTGACTGTTATCTGTTTGTACTTGAGTGTGGTGATGTCACACTAGCCGTGATCTCATGCGCAACCTACCAGAGCCTACATATTACGTTGCGGCGGGGTCGTGAATGGGTGGTAAATTAGTTGTGTGATGAGTTGCTGAAATGCCT